AGACTTAAAATAAAATGTCACTACATTTTCTTCAAAGCTGGCACTGTGCTTGATGCAGGCCTTGGTCTTCTTTTTATAAAAGATATATCTACGACTACTGGAATTCTCACCGCAATTGTGAGTACTGCAAAAGATCTCTCAAAAGTATCTTTAAAATTGGTGCATAAAAGCGAGAAGAACTCACATTTATTTTGAGAGTGAAATTTCCGTCAAAAATTCTATGTGAAATAGAGAATTTCACAAGATCATTCTAGAGAAAGACGAAGTTAAAAATATTACACGATAATATCATGAAAACATACTGTATTTTCTAAGCAATGAATTTTTTTTTAATGAATGCAGTGAAGTTTTGGATTTGGTGTCATTCACTTTTCAAGACTAAATACATCTTTGCAGTTTAGTACACAGCAATGGAATGTTTAGCTTCAGATGGATGGTATTCCACAGGGAATTCTATTCTTCCGTGAAATAATCCTTCTCGCTAATATCTTATAACATCGAGTTTTTGTTAAAAGTCATTTCATATTGTAAAAAAAAAGGACATCATATTGTAAAAAAAAAAAATATTAATAAAAAAAACTATAGTGGTTTCCCTCGTCCACGTACCCACATTTAGCTACAAATTTGGTACAAATTTCTTTATAATTTTTTATTTTATAAAATTTGTATATTTTAACAAATATTTTTAAACAATTAATCCTTCACTTTGTTGGTCAAAATAATTTTGTTGGTTAGCGATTGAAATTAAGAGCAGTTTTTGAAGCGCACAGTACATTGCACTGCTTCGCGGAATTATGTACAATATTTACATTAAATTTTTTTTTTTAATTAATTTTTTAATTATACAATAATTTATGTAACGAAAAATAGTTTTAGACTTAATGAAGACGTATTAGTTTTATTTTTAACCAAAAAGTAATCTTTCATATTTAAATTAAATTTTTAGGTTACACAGAAATTATTGTAGATATTTTTAATAAATTATCTAACGTTCCGGAAAGGTGGTAAACGAAAGAAAAATTTCATAAAATAAATAATGAAATTATTACTCGATAAACTTGCAGTTGAAGATCCACATTTCTTCTGTAATTAGTTAAAGATCAATTAATATTAAAATCACGCTCTACAAATCTCTTATTATGCCTGTCCTGCTGTATGGTACAGAAGCTTGGACAATTACCAATAGTAATGAGAAGGCGTTAGGAGCATTAGAGAGAAAAATTATTTGGAAGATCAATGGTCCCTTAAGCGTTGGCGACGAGTATCAAATAAGATGGTACGATGAGTTGCATGAGCTATACCGCGACATTGACATAGTTAAGGGCATAAAAATTCATGACATAGTTAAGAGCTTGGTCATGTCGTGCGAATGGAAGAAAGTGTTCCGGCTAGAAAAGTACCTGCGGTTGAGAACGTTTGTATCTTCGGTGGAAGGAACAGGTGACCAATGATTTGTGGGCGCTTGGTAATATCAACTGGCGACAGCAAGCAACGGGCTGGCTGGCGGAGGATACGCGACACGTGCTAGGACGATTCATGTCAGTAATAGTAAGTAAGTGATCGAGAACAGTAGAAAGTTGTAAATTAAATTTATTAATATTATTCATCACACAAATTAGTTGAAGAAATTATGTAGGTTTTGAAAACATATGTAAGTATTTAAAAAATTTTACTATATAAACCACATGTACTTTTATCGATTTTGAAATTACTTTATCAAAGCTAAAAACAAAATTACTTTTTTATTGCAATTTAAAAGTATCTTGAGACGTGTTTTCAGTTATAATATCATTAAAATGATTTCATTATTAATACGATCACTAGTCTATACACAGCGGATATAGTGCAGATACACATTTATATAAACTATAACGACTACTTACTTTCCATGCATAATTTTCATATTATAATTAATTTATAGAAAATAATAAGTACGCAAATAATGAAATAATGAGTAAATGAAATAATTTGTAATAATTGCGACTGTTTTATAAAACCACTTTTGACTTAAATGAGTTATTTCGATAATATATGTCTGTATTCTGTTCGATTTCCCTATACACTTGTTTTCTCAAGTATTTATTTTAATTAAGAAAAAATACTTTTAATGCAAAAATGACTAAGAAAATATTTAAAAAAATACGAAATTTATCGTGATTAGAAAATAACAGCTTAATCGAAGAATGTGTACTTTTATCATTTCTATTTAATACAGCTGTCAATTATAGTTAAAAGCTTTAGAATTATAGTTTTTATTACTCAGATTTAAACAAAAAACAGAAAAAAGAGATTGTGAATACAGGTCCACTATAGATCTTTATCAGAACAAAACATAATGAATTATAATCAATTACCACTATATGCTACATATTTTACTGATCAACAGACTACCAGACTTTCAAGAACGTACTTTCTAAAAATCTGTTCCTTCAATTAACCAAAGCCAGTGAGCCGTTTCTATAATTAAGGACTGAAATAATTTAATCCCTCGCGTTAAATTTAGATAACCTAAGAGATCTACCGTCCTTACCAACGAACAGACCGACAAATTGTCAAAAAGCACTTCCCTAAAAATTTGTTTCTGTAAAATGCCTCAATTAACGATCTCCAGTGAAATTTAAACCAGTACCGTTAGGGATTCATTTAAGAAAATACCAAGGCGGATCAAATCATTTATTTTTTCAAGGTTAATTTTTTCTTGCCGATAATGGAGTGTCTTATTATGACGAAAGAAACTATTTAAAAGTTAGACGGATTCGAATAGCAAAGAAATTTTTTCATTATTCACAATGTTCCTATGTACATAATAATCACAAGTTGCGCATGATTGTGACAAAAAATTGTGACAAATACTTCTTTAAACGATCTTCGATCTACGATCTACGATCTTCAATTCTCGCAATGTTCTTATAACAGGGAACTCAAAAATAATCGGTTTAGCTCGCCAATTTCCGCTCTACGTTCAAGCTTTGATTTTATGATGAACGTTTTACTGTCACTTAGCTGTCAAAAACATAGGGCGCTACTGCAACTTTTCCCGATGTGACTTCTAATTAGTTGAGAAGGATCCCTAATCATTCTTTTTATTTTTTAATTTACGGTATTTAGAAAACAAAGACAAAAAATATTTTGAATTAAACTTAGAAATTTGGGACAAGCATGAGGTATTCAAACACATCTGGGTATATACTAACTATATAACTAAAATCTCGATCTGAAAAATCGTGGATTAGTGAAACCAGGGACCAAACTTAAAAGTAATGTTTTGGACTAGCCTTTGGTGTTCTATGGCCAACACATCCAGGTATGTATATATGATTAAAATTTCTACCTGAAAAATTGTAGTTTAGTAATATAAGAGAATAAAATAAAGAGAAAAGATCTTATTTGGGACTGAAGTTAGAAGTAATGTTTGCAATAACCCTTGGGTATACTATGATCAACACATCCGGGTATATGTATATATGATTAAAATTTCCATTTGAAAAATCGTAGTTTGGTGAAATTAGAGAATAAAATAAAGAGAAAAAATATTATTTGGGACCAAAGTTAGAAGTAATATCTGAGATCGGATGATCTATAACAATCACACATAAATATGTATAAAATATATTTACATAAGTATATATTTTTCTACTCTATATATTTTATATGTGAGTATTTAAGGTATGTTGTACTTCCCAACCTGATCAACAATCAATACTCCCTAATAGTAAACCCCAATGCTGTTGGAGACTTATTTATCTACAAACCCAGTTGTGTTGGGTGTAGGTGTATCTTTCCTCTAAAATGAAATCATTTTATAATGAAAGGACAATATGTCCACAATTAAGTGGAAGAAATAATGTTGAGATGAAGAAGAATAACGTTTTAATCTATTTTTATTTCTACATAATAATGTTTCTAACCTCAATTAAAATAAAAACAATCGAAAATCAACAACAACGACTAATACAGCAACAACAATAACAACAGCAACAACAACAATAAACATAAAAACAATTGTCAACATGTTTCAACCTTGCAAATTAAGTTGTTAGTGCTATTTTTTCTTATTTGTTGTTGTTGTTATTATTATTTCTTAAAGCAGAAGTTTAAATACGCATATGACGATGATGATGATGATGATGATGATGATGATGATGATGACGCCGATGAAGTTGACAGACGACGTTTGGTACTTGGTACTGGTTATGTTGATTACAAAGAAACCGGCAAAAAGTGATTCATCTACTTTTGAGTAATAAATTTCAATTCTATTTCATACATACATACATAAAACTATATAAAAGCAGAAAAAAAAAATTAAAATTAATCTCTATTTAAGTGAAGACTTTTAGTTAATTGTTAACTAAGAGCATTGCTTTGATGAATTTCAATTTCTAGTCGTAAACGTGAAGAGAAATAGTGTAATGAATTTACGCTACTTTATCACACATGATTACAAAAACAAAACAACCAAACCAGTTTTAAAGTTTGTTTTCTTCTTTTTTTTTTAATTGCAAAGCATGTGCAAGCACTGTAGAGAATTAATAAGAAATTTATTTCTATGCTGAGGTTAATTAGTTTATGATTTATTCAAGAAATTGTGCTTTACAATAAGTCAAAGCGAGAGAAAAAAAAAAACATAAACAAATAAAAAAAAAATAAACAGCAACAGGAATCAGAAACAATAAGGAAAGAGAAGTACTTGTGCATAAACTAACCTTGAACTAGAACGCCTTCAAATACAAACAAATGCAAAGTGGAAAATAACAACAACGACAAGCACCGGTAACAAAAATAACAACAATAACAATAAAAAACACAAACAAATAAATAGCAACAATTTGCATGTATGCAAGCAAATTTCATACTCAGTGCACGTTGGCAATGCAGTGTAAGCAGAAGTTTGCTTACAACTGCAAGAGGTAGAATGTGTTTTGTTTTGTCAACTTTTACTCTTAAGTATTTAATGTCAATTAAATTTAATAACTACAACTTTTATTTGTAAAACTTACCTTTGCTTTAAATTATTCATAAATGATTCCATGGAAATTGTGTCCAAAAGCACAAAGTCCTGCACGCCAATTTCACGTTGTTGCAATGCCATTTTTGGATAATTCTTATGACGTCACTGCGAATTCAATAAAACCAAAATAGAAATCAATCACGAATCAAAACGAAAACAAGGAATTTAACTAAAAAAGGAGGCAAAAAATGGAATATTCACAACTTTTTTATATTTTAATTAAATTAATTAATTAATTTTTTTAAAAAATTTTAATACAATTATTTAAACTTCAAATTATTGTTTTCGGTTAAGAATTTAAAAGCGAACCGTGTACACAAATTAAAAACGTAAGATTTTGTCTTATTATTTTAAAATTCACAAATATGAAGAAATACAGGTAAACAAAGGTTAACAATGACATACACAGTAAAACAAAATATTTATCATTTAGGCCAGGCCTTTTGGTTATTACAAAATTAAAAAAAAAACAAGAAAAGAAACAATAAAACACAGTAAAGAGGATCACTTTGTTTATTTATGTCTTTTATTTAAATTTATTCATTAAAAAAAAAACAAAATAAATTATATTCAAACAACATAACATAACAATGTCACAGTTATCCTTTATTGATATTAATAAGAATTCTTATTCCTTTTGAATTATAATCGGCATAAATTTTAAACAACACGCGATCTTTACCAGTTATTTTTCACTTAAAAATATTTTTTCTAATTAGAGTATAAATTTTAATGTAGAACAAAACACTTTTTATTTTTATTATAAAAAAAGTTGTTCAAATTAAAGTTTACCTAAAAATTTTTAAATAAAATATTTTGTGCAACTTTGTTTATTTCTCTGTTTTTATTTCCTTTTCGCGCGCACGTCGTCCACACAGCTGGACAAATGAAAAGAAACTAAAGCGAAGTTGTTATTGGTGTGCCGTACGGCGAAATACTGATACTCTTCACCTTTCAGGGTTGCATTTTATGGAAAATTATTTTATTGTTATGAGAATTAGTTTACGTGCAAAATTTACTACATTTTTGAGAAGAAAGAAAAATGTACTCGAAATAAAGCTTTTACGCAAAAAGCTTTAAAATAATTATGATTTAATTTTTTAAAAATTATGCTGAAGCAATAATAATTATTTGTATTATATATTTTTATATTTTATAAAAAATTTTGTGATGATTCTAAAGGATAATCTAAATATAGAGTATAATAAAAAATATTAAACGTTCAATTACTTAACAAGAAGCGACCTACAGCCAGATTAATAATATATAAAAACCATTTTAATATATTTTCTTTTTTTCTAATTTTTTTTTTTTACGGGATTCACTGTGAGATATTGAACTCGTTTAGTTTATTAATCATTAATTGGAAATTTTAATTTTTTTAAATATATTAAGAGATAATTGTTAAGATATATTAAAAGGAGTATTAGGATTATTATTTATGAGAATTATTGGAAAATTATTTGCTCTATGAAGTAGACATGAAGCTATTTTATTTATACGTATATATATTACATATATTGAGGCCAGAAAGACAATAGTAATTAAGTAAATACGTTATGTGTATATATTTTTGCTTACACTGTACGTCAATGTGGTTTAAGACATAAAATATTTGATTATTATGTTATAAAATTTTTGTATACGATGGGTCATGCTACCCAGGGAATCAAATTATCGACAATCGATGACTATATCTGTTATTTCTAGTGCATTCAATTCAAAGCTTACATTATTAGCAACAACAAAGTCTGATGATTGATGATCATTAACTTACATTAAATGCGCACCGTGGCACATATGTCATCTAGCGGCAACTATAACAAACAATTTTCATTTTGATTAATCGGATGACTACTAACATATAAATGCGCTAGATGGTGCATCAGATCAGATGCTGTTTTTTATGTAAAAATTCCAACTTCAAAGCCCAAAATCTTAACTGCTAAGCTATATCATAAGAGTAATAGTAAGAAAGGTTCCAAAAATATTGTAGTTTCTTTTTAATCGGCGTTCTTGAAACAGAACTTTAATAATTTGAACAACAACATATGTATAAGTGCTATAAACTATAATTATTTCTTTTTATCAATTAGTTGTTAAGTTATTATTTTTTATTTACAATAGGTTAGGTAATACCGGCGATTCTAAGGATACACTTAAAACCATTGTGTTCTCATACAAGAGCTCAAAGGTTTCTTGTTCTAACTTACTTAAATAGTCATACCAACCCACTACCGGAGTTTGACCCGACGCATCAATCTATCCAGGTGCCGTTGCTACATAGGCGGCTCTTCCAGTTTGGTTTGTTAAGTCCGCTTAGTGTTCCCTCCACCGGAGACACGGTCAGCTCGTTGTCTTCTTCCCACACCACATGATTTAAATAACTTTTTTGCTTGAGCGTTTTCATCCATTCTCACGATATGACTAAGCTAGCGAAGTCACTGGATATTGATGCGCCGAATTAAATCAATGTTGTGCTTAAGGTCGCCCAAGCATTTGGTTCCTCCTGCACTTATGGCAAAACCTTCAATGCTTTTTAATGGGCGCTCCTGGAGTTGGCTAAGATTCTCAAAAAAGGGGCACTTTTTTTGTTTTACTACTGTTTTCTATTTTATAATATTTGACCAAGCATAGCCTTTAGTATTATAGTCAATGCATAAATCTGTAAGGGTTTTTAATAAATCCACTACTACTACTACTACTACTACAATATGAAACCCTTTTTTTTAAATAAACGTCCGTTTTATGATTCAAGCTTAAGTTAAAAGCTTACAACACATCGAAAAAGCTTTGTGTCGATTGGAAGCATTATGAACCAACCGTCTGTCCGTCCGTCTTTCAGTGGATATGGTGTAAAATAAACATATTTATTTTTAAATAGATATATATTAAATATATATGTATTAAATATTAATAATTTAAATAACTGGTAGTGCTGTGACTGGTGTAGAATCGATCATCACATCCACAATATATAATGGAGCTCCAATTAAATAGTAATATTAAATAGAATATTTTACAAACATATAAAACTCATCCTATATAAAAATCTATTCCGAAATTAAAATAAGTCTCTGGTAGTTTAGATTTATATGATTTATCTGTTGGGAGATATGAGCTATTTAAATGAAACAAATCTAATTGTATATGAGAAAGTAATGTTTTGAAAGAGAAATAACCCAATTCTACTGAATAACAGAAACTAACATAGTATGGTAATGTGCATGGGGAATGCCCGGCACTCATGCACAAGCGGAAGAAACACCTAGGAGGGTATTTCATGGATCCTAAGGGTTCAAGACTAGGAAAGATAGGCTCTATACTGTCTTTCATAAAAGAAATCGAACTTAGAAAAACACTCTTACCCGAGTAATGGGTACAATAGGTATTTCAGGTTGCAGTGCACGAACCCTTCTTTTAATATTAATAATAATAATAATAATACTGAATAACAGGTCTCAACAAAGCTGGTGCAATTACGAGATCAATGATATAAACGACAGGCTAGGTTTTAAAGTTATTAATTTCCGAAAACAATTAATTATCCGGAAAATTAATTACTCTAGTAAGAATAATTAAATCAGAAGTATATTATTTTTGTTGACTGTTCAACTGTATCAAGGTTCAGACCGTCCAGCACTGCATTCACTGGGAAACTACTGTTTTCCACTAGTATTAAGCAAGCAGCAAGCATTAAAAACTAAAAAGGAAAAAATCAAACGACCTCATTAAGACGCCTCGTAAACGTATTAATAATATAGAGTGGATGTGCTGAGGTTTCACCGCCACTTAGCCAACCATAATAGCTAATGGAATATTAACTGGAACATCTCTTAAAGTGGCTCCCTGGAGTAAGATTTCTTGCGCAACATAAGCCATCTAGTGGCAACTATGATATGAAATTTTTATCTTGATCAATCGGACGATTACCAACGTATAAATGTGCAAAGCCCAATTTCAAAACCCGATCTTAAGAGCTAGGCTATATCGTTATTCAAACGGAAACTTCATAAAAACCTTTTTTTCATCATTATTAAAACAGTTATAATGTATATCTTGCAATAATTTTATAACAGCATGTGCGGTATATGGAGAAACGATCCATAACTATTTCTTCTTACAAAATAGTTATTAAGTTATACGGATCAGGATTAACTTAGGGCCATTGTGTTATCATATAAAAGCTCAAAGGTTTAAATAGCACGCAGAGATGTTCACGTCTCTGCCTGGAGAAAGAAAAAACTGCTTTCCATTTGCTTTGCTATTGTTTATCATAATCAAAATATAGATTAAACACGTTAGGGGTTACCTTCTTAAAGTATATTAGTCACCTGCAAGATCTGAGAACAACTGTAACATAATTAAAGGTTGGAAATGCTTTCAAATCCCTGAGTGTTTTTATGCACCAACTGAATGAGACTATATACCAACATAATACTTCATTATAACCGTAAGAGTTTAGTTTGCTATATCGAAGCAATTTATATACTTCAGATTACCAATGGTAAAAATTTCAGATGAAATATTTTGAAAAGAGTTGCGCAAGTTGATCGCCAATTGTCTAGTGTTGAGTCGTTCTAAAACAGGCGAATAGCATTTATAACTCCTGTTGCTATGAGAATCATTAGTTGAAATAATAAACGGGGGTATGCGTTTGTGTTATTCTAATTCCTAGTCTAAATTGATAAAAGTTATAGAGGATCCAATTAAAAACGGCTGCTTTAGAAGCCGTTTAGCAAGTTTATAAATTTGATAAATTAACACGATTTTTATATCCGGGCAACTTGATTTGACAAGGGATTTAACTAAATTTGCTTATTTTCAATAACTTTTTCAATTAAGCTATATGTCTGTATAGCTTAGTTCTCCAGATATGGAGTTAAGTAATATTACGGTCTTTATTTGTATTTCAATACCACTCTTTGTTTTGGTTTCAGTCTTTGAATACGCTCTTTGCTTTAGTGGCTGTCTATAAATACGGTCTTCGCATAAAAATAAACGATATTATTACTGATTTGGTATAGTACTATTGTACAACACTGTATAGTACGGTTAAAAGACAAACTGATTTTGTACGTTACAAAACTGAATATGAAGCTAAATAGAGACATATTTTTAGGCTCTAGACACAAAATAATATAGCGCCAAAAATATAAAAGACGATTTTATAGATTCGTCACATATTTAAAATAAAAATTTTACTATGTCAGTTAAACTTGACTGACATGCGAAATGCTTGATGTACTTCCACGGAATCATAGAAGTCAGGTCAACTATCAAAATCCTCTACATAAGCAATTTCATTTCTTTATATAATATTAAAATTTTTTTATTTAAAATTTGTTTTTCTAATGCAAAATAATAGACCTAAAAATAGACCTAATGCCCATTAAAAAATAAATAATTAATCTTACTTTAATTAGTCACAATCTTCAATTTTTGGAGCATGTAAAACTTTCTCAATACGTTCCTTAATTGAAGTCACAGTTATCGGTCCACCGGCTCGTCTGTAGCATTGCGCCGTTCGTGGTTCTGTTTCGCGTAGCAACCATGCTGTTGCGGCGGTGCCATCATTGAAATTATTAGGAATACCAGCTCTGCGTATATTACTAAGTTCATAGGAGATGAGTGGCGCCGCGGTTTTCTTTGCATGCATAAATGGCATTTTTCCAACTTTATGTTCCATTGAACGCATAACACACGGTGTGTCACAAGAAACACACGCCAGGCCTTGTAGTACTTTGAAGCGTCCGCCTGCAGCGGCACATTCTTCATTAGTCGATTCAAGATACTCTCTGATAATTTTCTTAACGTCCTCGATTTGTTCATTGACATAAGTCTTAAATTCATCTAGTATTTTCTCTACTGCCCGCAGGCCAAGATCCTCCTGCATCAAGTCCATTCTATGCATAATGTTAAGTTCCTTGGTAGTTATGAGATTATTCAGTTCGTTTAGTCTTTTCTCAATGCAACAACGCATTTCTAACATAGTGTCAGTGGAGACCTTACGTTTCAATTGATCGTAGTTCACTTTCTCGGCCATTAATATTATGAACTCATCTTTATCGACTTTTTTATCCAGCAATGCACGCATTTCAATCACAATATTATGCATTGTGGTGTATTCCTCAATCATTTTAATATTTGTTTCGACTTGCAAATTGATCATATCGTTTACTTTTGTTTTGATTTCAGTCATTTCGACAATCAATTCCCTGACTAAAATTTCTGGTCGTTCCTTCTCAAATTTAAGAAAAAGTGCGGAGAGTGTATTCACTTTGTTGGTTAGATTACATATATTTGTTTTCATTTTATACCACTGCTCGGCAAATCTTTCGGGAGTTAGTGTCGTTGGATCAAAGAAGTCTATTTCGTCGGAGTCCTCATCACTTGATCCCCTCGAAACTAATGAACTGCTGGCATAGTCGGCATCTTCGTAGTCCTCATGTATATCCATGCCTGGCTTCAGACCGCCATACTCCTGACTTTTCTCTACCAGAGCACTGTCTCTTAGTGCCTTACGTAGCTTCCTGTATACCACCTTAAACTCCTTGATAAGAAGTGGGCTTTGTACTCGCTTTATGCCAATTGTGAACAATAATTTGATTAAATCAGCAATTATTTCAGTTTGATTTCTCATTGATATTATATTTGTGTATATTTTGATGAAATCGCGATCGAGAAATTGAAAAGGCTGAGGCATTTGAAATACCATTGATCCGGTCTCAGAAAATTCTCCTGATATATCTTCATCGATATAAGATTCTGTGTCAAGGTGTTGTGAGTATGAGGAACGAATAGATTCATCATCATCATCCCCAGAGAATTCACCTTCTTGGGAAAGACTTGCTTCTGTTTCATCTTGTAGGTTGGTTGAAATAGTTTCGTCACTTAGCTCTAAATCATCACGCGCGTCAGCTGGTTTAGCATCTGGCTTTGCTGTTGGCTCTTGTTCAGTTGGTGCAACCGTAGCCGCGGCCGCGGCCGCAGCCGCAGCTTCTTCAGTTGGTTCAGCGGGTTTTGCAGTTTCATCTTGCTCTGTTGGTTGATCGGCTGGTTTTGTAGCATCTTCGACTGGTTTGCTTTCATCTGCTGATTCTGGTGCGGCTTTTTCTGATACATCCGCTGTTCCAGGTTCTGATGTTTTTTCAGTTGCCGGTGTTTCTGCTGCTGGAGGTGGTGGAGGTGCTGGAGGTGCTGTGGGTTCTGCAGGCGCTGCAGGCGCTGTAGGTGCTGTGGGTGCTGCTTCTGCAGCTTCTGAGGCTGGAGCGGGAGTATTCGCTTTATCAGTTTTATCTGATGCTCCTGTAAGGTTTTCTTCACCCTCAATATCTGTACTTGCACCTCCACCTTTAGTTCGTGCACTACTATCGGAATCTGTGAAATTAATATCAAATAATTACAACACTATACATATAAATTTAGGTAAGAACTCGCCCCTCTATATACCTACAGAAATCACTAAAAGCTTGTTGGAACACTGAATATGTCGATGAAAACTTCTCATCCACTGGTTCATCGGCTATATTGAGGCGCTCTGCTAAAGCAGTCAGTACGCAATGAAGTGCTATAAAATTAACATGTCCTGGATCTGGTGTTCCTATAGCTAGGTCTATAAGACCACGTATCGTAGGTGCACAATATGCCATTGTTAAGTTCTTTGTTATAAAAAAATATACAAAAAAAAATTTTAAAAGTAATTCTCAATTTTGTTTTTTTCTTGTTTTTTGTGAAATAAAAAAATATATTTTAATATTTTTAATTTTTGAAACATCAGTCGAAACTAACTCAACAATTAAGTAAAGATCTTAAGATATTATTTTTAACAAAACTGTTAAATATCCGTTACATACTATATCTGCATAATGAAGAAGAAGCAAAATATTTTCAGTAAGACTCTTGATTGCTAGCTCGGCAGTTTCAAGGCAGACGAGCTAGCCAGATGGGGAGTTTCAGGAAACCACTCGGGAACATGGCGGGAACTATATAGCCGTAGCATTTATAAAAATATGTCCTCTAGCATAAAAACCTGTGTCAGTATCAAAGTACACTACGAATTTTCTATGGGTCTATAAAAATAAATCGTGAACATATATATCTAAAATTAGAAATCCAAGTAAGCCGATTTAAAATTCTAAAATATTCTTGAAATAATTTTCGTAAAAATTTCATATTATATCAAATTCATTTCCAGATTGATTCGTTTTTCGTTTTAAGCTCCATAAATCCGAAATTATATTATAATCTATTGGTCATATATTTAATATTGCGCATATATTTCGTATATAAACGCAAAATTCATAATGTCTACTGGTGCCTCCACTTTGCGTAGTCTCATCGATTTAGCAATTGGAAGTCCAGATCCGGGACATGTCAACTTCTTTGCCTTACACTGTGTTCTTATTACTCTGGCTGAGAAATTGAATATTGCTGACCAGCAACTTGATATGGACAAATTTTCATCATATGATTTTTCACAGAAGACCATCAGTCGTCTTGGTAAGTTTAATTCACAGCATTTGTTTTCTTCTAAAGATAAAAATCTGTATAACTCAGTCTTATTATGAAATATTAAGAAAATATGTTGTTGCTTAAGATAGTATGAAGTATTTGGAGTTGTGGTTTCAGCGAAACACATTTAAGCTGAACGTTTCATTAGCACTGACACTGTCATCTTCTGAGATAGCAAGTCTAATTTCGATTTTGAATTTTGGAAAATTTAATTAATAGTAACCTTGTTATATCGTAAGAATCCTATTGTTATGATATGAACCTTATCCGACAGGTAAGAAAGGGTATTTACCTTGGAGGAAAAACGGTGTTATTACTGATGTCTAATGTCGATTAGACATTATTTGCAGAAGAGGCCAAAAAAATCGAACCCTTCAAGAAACAAAGATAATGTTCTGACAGATCTGTTTGATTGTGTTGTTTTATGAGATCGCTCAATTTCCTCATATGATAATATGGAACTTATATATAACATTTTATGTCTATAAAATCAAAAAAAGAAAAATTAATTGAGTTCTAGGCCTATCATCAGATAACAACCAAATATTATCAAGTATAGCAGAACCCTTTCAGAGAAAAAAACATATGTATGTAAAAACGAAAATCGATATATTGGAAGATTGAATCCTCTTTCACTTTTTATTGTGGTAGATATAAGACCATAGTCCATTCCACTCCATTATTTGTAAGCAGACACACTTAGGATAAATTGTGGAGTATACATTGCTATAAATTATGGTAGCTTATGTAGTGAAATGCTGGCAATATATTAGTTATCTACCAGTACGATTCTATAGCACAATAGATCTATAAGTTGCAGTATAAATGCGCCCAATATATAGTAATAATTATAGCCGAAGTCACTTCTTATTTATTTCAAATACCTTTTTGTTTTTTTTTGTCTTCTTCCATATTTTTTTAATTTTTTTTCTTTTATATTTTCTTTTTAATATTTTTGATTTAAATTCTTTTATATATTTTTTTTTATTTGTATTTTTTTTTTTTTTGATTTTATTTTTATTTATTATTTTTTATTTATTTTTATTTATTTTTTTATTTCTTTAATATATATATATATACATATATATTTTATTATTTAGTAATTGTTAATATAATTTAAATTTAAAATATATATATTTTGCAGACTATCGACCGGGACGTCTTAGAAAGAGAGGTGGTGGTCCTGATACATCAGTTGAAGATGTCGAAGAAGAGGATGTTCAAAATGAGTTAGCTGAGAAGACAACAGTTACAACCGTTGAGACAGTTGAAAAGCCTGCTCCAGAACCTGAACCAGATATTATAACCAATTTAGAGGCTCAAGAATCAAGTACCGTAAATGAAACCATTGAAACATTAGACAAATTCTCTATGCTAGAGACTGGTACATTTAATGATTCATTATATGACGATAAAAGTATGTCATTATCGAGACCCTTTGTACGGAATGGACTTACTTATAAACTTGAGGCTGGATTAATTGGAGTAAAAAATCAAATGGATGTAGTGATTATGCTTTTACGGTTATTGTTCGCAATGGGAGTTAACAAAAAGAATACTCCTGAAAATATTCGGGAATTCAATGCAGCAATTCACAACTTACGTGCTCTTCAAAGGGAAAACTTTTTCATTGGTCGTTTATCACGCCACAGCATTCTGGACAGCCCATATTACTTAGACTATGGCGAAAACTATGAAGGCGAAGAATATCTAGGTAGTTCTTATCATTCAGATGAAACAGAAGATTACGCTTCAGATGATCTCGATCTTACGGATCATTTACCATATCCCACAGATAGATTTGCTGAAGAATGGTTTAAATTAAAAGCACAACTATGTACTTTAAAGAAAAAACTTGATACTTTATGGGATTTGTTTCAACAGTATGAGCAAGAACGTAAAAAATATCCAATGAAGGACGTCATGAAAGCTCTTGACGACCTCAGAACAGAGATTTTCGTATTACGTGCTATGCAACATGAAACAAATATAAAAGTTCAGGACAACGCAGATAATATAGCCAAAAATAAATCAAGCATCGAAGAATTAGATGAAAAGAAAGTAGATATTAAAGAATATGTAATTCAAATGGCAGAGAAAGTCAACTTTGCGCAATTAAAACGTAAAGTTTCCATTGAGACAATCATGGAAATACGTTGCTGTATTGAGAAGAGGATAAATGAACTCGCAAACGTTATTAGCGGAAAAGAGTTTACTATAATGCAAAGAATTCAGCAAATGGATGAAGAGATTGGACTTAGAGCAGTGGAGCGCGTGCTTACTATTTTCAGGACAGAAATTGATACCGAAGTGGCTGAAATTAGAAAGTTAGTAACGGACTTCCTTGACTCTACAAATGATGATTGTGCCGCTGCTGGAGGTCGTTTTAAGGTTCTTAAGAATCTCGCTTGCATATCCTGTGAAAATCCATGCGTCATGCGTGCTGTGGAATGTAAGGTAGGAAAAATGGAAACAACACCACCATTTGAAACTATTGCGCCAGTCGTTGCCTATCAACTTGATCAAGTGCGTAAGAAGGGTGTGGCTGGTCACCTACGAGAAGAAGCTCTTGCTACAGCTTGGATGTACCGAAAAACCGAAGCGTTTACTCCTGACTGTAACCGACGTGTAGGTGGCCCACATACAGTCATCACAGTAAAAGATCGCATAGAGAAGATTTTGAACAATCCCAAAATTGTTTAAAACAATTTGATTATCAAAATTTATGTAATATTCAGCTGCACTCGAATTTAATCCAAACTAAATTAATAATTAAATTCAACAGTTGAGCCAAAAAAATTAACAAAATAAATTGACGTCAGAAAAAAAAACGACTTGAAACGATTGTGGTTTTAACAAAAGAGATTATTTTGCCTCGGGCTGTTTGATTAGTTAGTGATAAATGAAATAGTTGAATCCTTGTTTAATTGTAAATTTATTATTCATGATAGAACTTTTTGACCTTCTTGATAGACGTTTTCGAGGTCCTTAAAGATTTTGTAAGTTGCATACACTAAGTCTGAAATTTTTAAAATTTCAAAAGATATAAAAGTGTAGAGCCGAGTCTACATAACATGGTAGTTAGGGTAATATAGTGAGAGAGAGAGAGACAGAGAGAGAGAGAGAGAGAATAAAGGAGTAGAGCCGAGTCTACATAACATGGTAGCACGGTTGCCACTTGAAAATTTTTTTCTGTACCAAAATTGGTTTAAAAAGGTACCATTTGTGTAAAAAAAGGTCCAAAATTTTTTTGGACCTTTTTGTTTTCTCGTTCTGTGTTTTTCATAGTGTTATAAATGAACAAAATATAAAATAGTGCAAAGTTGCATTTATAAAAAAAATTAATTGGAAATATCCACAATAAAGTTGGGTCGTCAAAAATGTACCATTTTTTAAACGTGAGTACCAAACGAAAAAAAAAAAAAAAGTACCAATTTTGGTACTAAAGTACCATAAGTGGAAACCGTGCATGGTAGTTAGGGTAATATAGTAATATAGAGAGAGAGGGAGAGAGAGAGTTTGCAATGCTCTGAAATTGGTATGGCGTGGGATTTTCTAATGGGTATAAATATAAGCCAATACGTCTATGTGTGTTATAATATATGATAGCCGCTTCACCAACTTCACCAACTTGACTACCTTGTCTACACCAAACAAAATCAAAGAAAAAGATTAGGTGTCTATCTATTAGTCACTTAACCATATAAGACTGGTTGGTGGTACTCTTATATTTGCTTAGTTCCTTAATTAAGTGAATGTAGAACAAAAAATTGCTACTTTGAATAGATTATAAAGAACTAGATTTTATAAAGTAAGGACTGTCAAAACTACGTTAATTTTGATTCTGTTTTTTCTACTTCAGTGTATACACACCATTCTTCATACCACGGGCGCTCAATAAATTGCTCCATATATGTGTCCAGCCTGTTTTTTTTTTCATGGTGTGGAGTTTCGTATTATATATGCACATATATGAACAACAATGGTTGTTTAAAAGGTTCAATTATCTCTAAGTCGATCCCTTCGTGATGTGACAGGGGCAATTCAAAAGGTAAAATAGTTTCTGATTTTAAAACCTAGAGAGACTGGTTCCATGTTTTTAAAAAAAAGTTTTAATTCAGTAATAATCAACTGTAATAATTCAAAAAAGCTGCCAAATTCAAAAAAAATATATGTATAATAAATTTAAATTTTATTTTATATTAAACATTGCACTGTTCAAATATATAACTTTTTGACTGAATAACGTTCAAGTGCGGTGAACGAAATTGACTTTTCTGATATTTTTAAATGAAATATTTACTTTCCAAAAATAATTCAATAAGTAAATAATAACGTTTGAATGTTAAGCTTAAAATTAATTTAATTAAATGTTTTGGAACATTTTTTGGCAAACACGGGTTTATACGTTATTACGCCAAAAAGTCAGGTGCGTGGAACAATCCATGGGAATTACAAAATACAGTTGAATAATTTAAGGTCATGTAGTGTTAAGGTCACGAAACCACCAATTATTAAGCTCAAATTTTATGTAAATAGACTATCAGTGTTAGTAGGACTTCGGTCACTAATTTATAGATATCAATATTTTGTTTGGACTTTGGTTTTTGGTGTGAAGGGAATTATTCAAATGCCCTGCATGGGTCAACTAGCAGCACTGTTTTCTTTCGACGTTATTTTCGACAACAATGGACAATAGTTCGGCCCTAACTTGACGAAAATTCGCGGATTGTCTATATTAATATTATTCTTTATATAACGCTACATATATAAAAATTCGGTTCTGACAAACGAATGATAAAAACGTGGATTTACAGTTTGAAAATATCGGATGCCAAACTAGATGCCGAACTTCTTATCATATCTTGCAAATTCATATCTTGGACGTGGCTTTAGCTATAAGATAATCATATGGTGAGCAGTATATGATTCTTGTGGAAATCATATCATCTCTATTATTCATACCTTGGACGTGGTTTTAGCTATAAGGTAATCATGTGATAATTGTTATATCACAATTATCTTGGACGTAGTTTTAGCTATAATGTAATCATGTGGTGATTGTTATATCACAATTATCTTGGACGTGGTTTTAGCTACAAGGTAAACATGTGGTTGTTATAACTCAGTTATCGAGTGGTTATCAAGATTCACCATTTTGAAGAAAATATGTACCTATCACATCTCCAGATGAAATGTTACTATATATATTCATATTTTGTATATGAACGGATGAAACGTTACTATATGTATTAAGATTTTGTATATGCAATGGCTTCATTTGTCATTTATTTATAGATGATCAATTCAGTGCCTCTATTGGTAGTGCCTCTACTGTATTTGTTGACATATTAACCAAGTGAAAGGTAAGTCCCATTATTGAAGAAAGTTCTCCATCTTTTTTATAGTAAATTTAAATTCAAATTAGAAAGTGATGAATCTTAAGCAAAACACATGTTGTCTTTAGTGACACTCTTGCTTGACATGTCACTAAAACACAGTACTGCCAAATCAGTATTACGAATGGACATCCTTTTATAATGGCTCTGAATTTTTCAAATATTGTTAGTATTAAGAAAAAAATTACTACAAAGCAAAATTTCGAATTTTTCTCCAAATTTTTCGAATCCTAGCATTTTAATACACACCACAAATTTAACATATGTCAGATTTTTACTAAATTTGGAATAAAAGTAAGCTGTGAAATAAAAACAAATTCTTACATATAAAAGTTTTTTTATATGAAGTTAGTTTCATATATTTTGTCCTAGAAAACGTACAGAAATCATATGATTATATTTTCTACAAATACTTGCGAAAATGTCACGTAGAAAGCCAATACACATGCTTGATGTGGTGGGTAATCTGGACAGTAATATTATTACTGCAATTCCGGAATATATAGTTTCAAAGGAGTCCGATAAGAAAAACAATATGTAAGTATTGACAGTTATCATAGTTTTAAAAATTTTTATTCTAACGAATTACAAAAATTACAAAAATTACAAAAATTACAAAGAAAACCACCTAACGAGGATGCTTTTGTTGAAACGCCTCAAACGTTCTACTTATCTTGCCTGAGAGAATTTAATACGTTGGTAGAAGCTCAAAATGCGCAGATGGAAGAGAATCGGCGGTACGACATAATGAATGCACACCACAATGCAGAAATCTGCGCGGATCAACGATTATTGAGAGAGAAGTTCATTAAATGCACCTCGAAACTCAAGGAACTAAGACAAAAAGAAGAAACAACTCGCCTTATAATCGAAGAGCACGCCCTAGAGCAGAAGTTGATGAAAGACAAATCAGAGGAACATAGAGTCAGCATCAAAACATTGAAGATTTTTCGCACGGAATTCCAGCAAACCCTTCAGCGTTATGTCCTTTATGAAAATTTTATGAAAGATTTTCTAAAGGATCATCCAAAATACGGTACCTCTGAGCAATTTATCAATTCCATGGATGCGCTAAGTATGACATTGTTCTGCAATTCCAACCTATGTGGTATATATAAATAACACTTCTATGATTTTTTCAGTGTTGGCGAATGTTGATATCAACAGCATGAATGAACAACTTGTACAGAGCATCAGTGACATGAAGTCCGAATTAGTGACTATAACTCGAGATATCGCCAACTCAATTTTGTCAATGAAAAATGAGTTGGATTTCTTTCAACGTGCTTTTGTTAAGGTTTGTCATGAGGTTGCAGATATGGAGGAAAATCTTTCGAAGATAAGAACTGCCTGGATTAAGAGGCAAAACGAAAAGAATCGTATGGGAGAAGGGCTGTATAATTTATACAGCTTGCTTTGCCGTCGAAGAAGTAAGTACTGACATATAAAACTAATAAATATATATTATTATTATATATTTTATTTTTTTTTTGTTATAGATAAGTACACAGATTTACGCACAACAGAGATTGAGAAAATTTGTGAATTTGTGAAGCATGAATATGATGTATTGCACTTTACCACTTCTCATATAGAAGAACCCTGCGAATAATATCATAATATTATTCAACAAAATTAAACAAAATTAACAAAATATATTTTATAAACTCTTTACATATTTTATTAAGTTATTCGTAATAATAAATGGAACACACGTATACTCTCTCGAGTAATACAAACAGTAGTTTGATATAAATATTAATTATAATTTTAATAAAGAGAAACAGATTTATACTAGAGAAGCCTATGGTGACATTGTTAGCCTCAGGTTCTATTAAAAGACACAAAGTTAAGTAGAGTCAATTAACGGGCAAGTAAATTATCACAACAAAGCGAAATGATACTTTTGTTTCACTTATTTAACGTTGGATATACTTTATAGGGAATCCATATAAGAAAGGTGATGTCAATACGAGTAAAAGCACTACAATCAAATCTAATATATTAATTTAGGAATCTTAGTATAATACCAGGACTAATAATAGTACAGGTTGCTCATAGTGTCTTTATAAGAAAACATTTGAGGTCACCAAGACAGTCCGCTTCGGTATATATTGGGTAGAATATAATGTAAGAATTATTTTGGAATTTACACAGATACACAGATACCATATTGCTGATATTCAAAAAAAACTATTGAAAAAATTTTATGGATCAGAAATAACAACAGCATTTCCATCATATACAATATGAGAAAACAAAAAGATATCATCCATTTTTAAGTAATGACATTTAATATACTCTTAAATAATTCGAAATTCGAATATACAACTAGTCCTACTAGGTTAAATGGTCTCACATTTAGAATTAATGAACTATATTCTAATCATTTTTTTCTAGTGTAGTATATTAATGTACTACACTAGTATATTAGTGTTCTATTTCTTTAAATTTTTTTATATCATAAGTAATGTATAATAAGCAAATAGTAAATATAATATATTAGTAGGATTACTCAGTTATTCTAAATACCTCTAATAGTATTTTTATTAGTTTTTTATGCATAGGACTTCATAGTCTTTACGTATGAAGTCGTTAGTACTCGTAGTTAACTTCTTTGTTAGCATAATAGTCCTGGGTGAACCAGTGCTATCCAGTGCCTCAATCAATTTTTGTCATCTGACTCGATCCGTTGCGAAGTTTTTCTAATCACTCACACGTAGTTTCATTAAATTTTCTTCAGCATAATCTATCCACCTCTTTCTATGTCTGCCTCTTCTTTGAGATCCAATCAGGTTTCTTAAAAGTGCTTATTTTGTTAATCGTTCTCGATTCATACGGTAGCTATCTTAGTCGTAGTAATTAACTATATCTAATTAAGAGACTTTAATATATCTTTATTTAACTTGACTTAGGATGCTTAGTTGAAAATGTTTCTAACTATTTGTTGTAACTCATCTCAAGTTTGATAGCATTAAATATTTGAAGATGTGGATAAAGTTAATTTATATTATGTATATAAAAATGATTATAAAAAAAACCCGATAACTACCACCGTATTGAAACGAGATTAGTTACTGGCCTATTAGGATTCACCGTGACTTATGTGATCTATTGTACTAAACCAAATTGCCGTATCCGAATAATAAACGTGAGTAGCTTCGATAATTTTATCATGTTCAATGTGTTCTATCCAGTATCGATTCTGCTTCAAGATCTGTTAGTTTTGAGCACTCATAGAGCATATGTCCAGTCGTTGAAACGTCTATTTTGAAGAAGTAACAGATATTGACCTCTGAGAAACGCGCTGTAGTTTAATTTTTCTAAAGAGAAGTTAAAGTTAAACGTTATCATCTGGTTGACGATATTAATGTCAAAGTTGTATTTTTTGCCCTATAAATTGTAGTTAAAATATGAATAAGTTAAGGGAAAGAATAGCCCGAAGCTATTCCTCGAGTTTGAAAAAGAGCTACACAAGCAGATCTCTACAGGCCACAACAACAATAGTAGCAATTATTCTTACAATTCACTGTTGGGTTATCATATACAATGTTTTCCTCTATGAAACCTAGAATTGTATGAGCTCTACCAAGACATTGACTTACTGGTGAGGAAAGAAGATGATATTCAGAAGATATGTAAAACGATAGTTGAAGAAAGGAGAGTTAGGGAAGACCGTGTCTCTAGTGAAGTATTCAAATAAGCAGAAGCAACTCGGGTGCAAGAAAGGAAAAGGCGAACGCATAGAAGATGTGCCGGGAAGAGAGTGCTACATTGGGTCAAAACGGGTTCTTATAGTCTATAAAGTGAAATAGAGTAAGTAAAAATTTTAATATAAAATAATATATGAAAAGAATAAATAGTTTTTTTTTTACTAAATGACTTGTATCTTCAGAAAATCAAGATTTAATTGTGTTTGTTCCAATTTTTTTCTTCTAATTTAATTTTCAATAAATTTTGCATTTCCACTGAATTTGTTTGTCGTACTATTTTTTGATTGTTTTTTGGTTTCGATAATTTATGGAGGTTCAAGTACAATTGATTCTTGTTAAATTTCTTATAATGTTTCGCAGTTTTTTCAACCAATTCAGTTGCTTATCTAATCACCTGTCATTGAATTCGTTACTGTTTTCGTTATTTTCGGCGTCTGAAAACTCAAAAATGAACCTACCTCGAACGAATTTCTCGGTGCTATGACTAAATTTTGGTGCGAAATCAGTTCGAATTCAATTAAATTTTTAAATTTTTTTATAATTTTTTTCTTTTTATTTATTAAAAAATAAAAAAATTATTGGCGTTTGATTCTTCAGCAGTTCAAACTAATTTGTGTGTATTTGAAATGAATTAATGTGACCAACATGAAAAAGTTCAATGCTATAAATTTGGAATAAATGGAATAATATTCGGAAAGTTAAAAAAAGTCTAACAAACTTCTTTTTTCAAGATAAATATTATAAAAACTATACATCAGCTTTGTTATTAATCTCATCTCAATCATTTTCTTATGCTTATCTAGCGTTGTGTCTGCCTGTTGGTAAATCCGAGCCCTCAGACGCCAAGAACCCCACCCCAACACCGGCCAGCATACCGGGCTAGCGACCGTGCCATGTGCGGCTCCTGAGGGCTCCGATTTACCAACAGGCAGACACAACACTAGTTAAAACTATAAGGATATGTCAACATAAATTCGACGATTTTCTCAAACGATGTGCTTTTGAATCAAACCTACATAGAAAACAGTTCAATTTTAATATTGGATTTTAATTGTAGCAACTTACAGTATTTTAAAATAATGTATGTATCAACAATAATAACCGACTCCATTGGAAGAACTGATATCTGAACTAACGATTTGCATCGCACATAATCGTCCACGATGAAGGCACAGAGTTCATCACAAGCAATTTTCAAATAAATATAGATTTCAGCATCATCAAATCCTGTACCTCCCGTTGGAGTATGAAAAACATAGATTTGATAATGGTATATTTTTACTAAACTTTATGGGACTTTATGGGATATTTTAAACTTTATGGGACAAACAAAAAAGTATTAAACACAAAATCCAAGTATATAGTATAAACAGGTCCAAACGGACCAATCGTACTTTATGGTTACGTAGCGTTTGGGAGAGCGACCCCGATTACATTAAAGAACTTTCATTCATGTCAAAAATTAATATCAAGAAGGTTTGTGAATGAATATTGATATAAAGGAAATTTTAATATACAAAAGGAAATGATAGTAGGCTTAATACCTAGTGAGCTAAAATCGTCCTCATAAAAGAGGAAGTTGGTGAATTACAAACTTTAAAAAAAACACAAGACAAGACAAAAAACTGATAACACCAAGTAGACACATTAAATGGTGGTTTCCAGAAGTAAATTTTGATTTTCTGAAGCCCGATAATTTAACAACTAAACTAAATTTAGGTATAACATAATGAGAAAGTCTGTTTAGAATAACTACCTTGACTAAAATCCATCATCAAATAGGAGTGCTCGACAAATCGGAATTGTACTAAATGTTTTATTCAATAGTTAATAAATAGTATTTAGTTAATAATAAAGATTATTTAAACAGTCAACTTTAAAGACATACAAATAATTGTTTGGACCAATAATATTGTCTTACAAAATGATCGTAAGTGCTCAAGTTTTCACCACCCAATACCATAAGTTTAAACTTGGTGTGATTTCATTCTATTTCAATTAAGTAAATCGAAGATTGGACTTTTTTTCACACAATTTCTGTACCCAGCCTTTCCCGACGGGAAAGGGGTTAGAATAATCTCTTGGTAAGACACGTTTGTCTTTAAAGTCAACTAAAATCCAGAATTTTGGCATCACACGATATCCGATACTGTTTGAAGTACAAATAATAGTGAGTTAGCCTCATTTGCAGCACCCAACCAAAAGTGTTAATCTGCTACCACGGGGTCAGCATCCAAAATTTAAGTTGTCCTTACCAGTAGAGAGTGATTTTGCTAAAGAAAGTACCGTGGCGGTTGTGGTTAACACTGGTAGCATTATTTTAATTCGATGTGTATTAGAATTTGCACAAATCAGGTGATGTGCTCTAAAGAACATCAAAAGTGTTAGATGGGTCTCGCACCCTGCCAAGCAGGAAACTATATCGAAATGTATAGCTTTAATAGATACTGATGAAAATTGTTGGTATCTTATTGGGTGCGTTTATCGACGCATTATACGAATACGCGCGTTAATAGCACAATGGTGTTATGCTTTAATGATGGGTTCTTATATTGGAAAACTATGGACTCTGTATCTGTAAAAGCAAGTCTATATTCTTACTGACGGTTAGGCTCCAATCAAAGATTTATCAGTGATCTGTATTTCATATAAATTAATGGAAAAATGAAGAGAATTTATTAATGCGCTGAGATGTCCAAGATAACTATAGTTTGAGTTCCCGGACATTCTAATATAATAGGAGATGAGCGTATAGTAGGAGTGCAGATGACCTTGCTAGACTGGACGCCTTTTCTACGGATAACCCTATTTTAATCCCTGCTTATGCATACGATTCGAAATTGTTTTGTGGTCGATCATTAGCTTTTTAGTAAAAATTGACCACATTAAATACAAACTTTCTTAAACTTCATCTATAATTACAAGATCTTTTAGAAGCAATTTTTTTAATACAAATTTTTAAAATGATAATCGATGAAATCGTTTCCTGGAAATAGATTATGATGGAACAGTTTCAT